TCTGGCAACACTATTTTTGTAATTAAATTTCTATGTTTTTAATTATTTTTTGTCATCATTTGATTATCAACAATAAAACTCGTTTACTCATACGTTATTTTATAATTTGGCTCACTTAATTTAACGGTTTTTTACTGCGAAGTAAAATAGGCCTCGCGAACTTGATGTCGCCGACGTCCACATGTGGTCTAGCGCCGACACTGGCCATTATCATAATCTATTAATGTCCCCACTGCTGGGGCACAGGCCTTCCCTATGAATGTAATAGGGAGATGTGTGCACTGTGTAGTATGTAGTGTAGTAGTACATACATACTATACAATATTTTATCATTAAAATACTCATCTCAAACATAACAATCATCCGAATTTACAATTTATAATTATCGTTACTTAGCTAGATCAGCTAACAAATTCTAAGTATAATTCAGACACTACAAAGTTTTACAAACTAAAAAGGATTATTTTATTGAAAATGGCACTAACTGCTTAGATTAAAACAAAAAGGGTAGATACGGCACTAGCCTCACAAAAGTGAGCCTCACGAAATTGTGGCCCACGACCCTAATCGCTTTAGTCACAGCTTCACATGCAAACGACGTACATGTGAACGCCAAAAAGAAATATTGATAATATTTTGTGTTTATATGATAAAACAATGCCTAAGTGTGTTTTTAATAGGTGCTCAAATTGCTCAAGAACTAAAAATAAAACCCACGGCATCACTTTTCATTCGTAAGTACTATAAAATATAATTTTTCATAAAAAATGTTGTTTGTTTTGAATCATAATCGGTAGTGACGTCGAGTACTGGTCGCCTGATTGGTCGGTAATGCAGTGACGCGGATATCGCCGTCTCGTTCGCGCTGCCGTTGAAACTTAACGTGCTGTTTCGCTCGGGTCGGTAATGCAGTGACGCGGATCTCGCCGTCCCGTTCGCGCTGCCGTGGGATCAGTTTTTGTTTGATGCAAGTATGAGCGTACCGTATCTACCCTTTTTGTTTTAATCTAAGACTTAATGTTTCGGACGAACGTTATATTGTACTCAAAGCTCCCATTCGGTAATGGTTTAGTGGTAAACGTCAAAGATAAACAGGATGCAGCCGACACTCGACTGATTTGAGCAACACAACTCGTTTCATAATCCATCTCCGAGAACGCTTACATGCCAGCGAAACCTTCCTGGTCTTCCGCAGACGAGGAAAAGGTTTAAGCTTTAATTTCCTTCTGCTTTCCCTTCGGAGGAGCAGATTTTATAATAGAAAAACTTACCACGTTTGATGTTCATATTTTGCACCAACTAACTCATATTGCATTGACCTCATTACACGAAACATCAAATGGTAGCTTGTATTTATATTATTTACTAGCGGCCCGCCCTCGCTTCGCTTCGGTGTAGAGCTGAAGTGTAGACTACAGTTTTTGTTCTCAGGCTTGTATTAGGCCGTACCTATACAGAAAGAAAGCCGAAAGCCGATCGGCGCCGATCTTTGCCGATCAGCGCCGACACGCGCTGGTCCGAATAATAAATAATTTGTATTTGAATTATTATCCTTAGATTAAATCAATCTAAGTTATATCTTTTCATAATTCTAATAACTTTATCTTTTATTAACTAAGCGCTAAAATTATTTGTTTCGTACTTACCGAATGGTGACAACAAGTCTTTCTTCTGGAAGGATTGGTTGTTTATGCCAATTGCCCCAATTTTTCATCAAATGGTTTTTCACTAAATCCAAAATGTAATAAAATGTTTCTTGAGTCATTCTTGTATATGTATAAAATCTTTGATCAACAAATTTCATTTTTTTTACAAATAGATGATAGTATTCTCCGAAACGTTTCCTTTCTCTATTTATAGGATGTATAGCTTTTTTTCGCATTTTTAAATACACATTTTCTAACAAAACCAAATCATCGTCCGATGAGTCCGACATTTTGCTTGATCAGCTTTAATCGGCTTCCTTTATGTAGTAAGGATCGGCGCCGGTAAGCGCCTGGTTAGTGCATTCGCCCGGATTGCGAAGGGTGCGGGTTCGAATCCAGTCTGCTGCCTGGTCCGCGTGTAATTTTTTCTAGTTATATTTTCTTTAATCTCTTTATATTTCTGAAAGTTTGAGGTGATATAAAACATTTTTTATTTGCATCAAATAACCACTTACGAACTGACTGCCCAAATGTATGACGAATATTTGAGTACGTGTGTGCACGAGCAATTAACTGACAAAACAAATTAATTGAACCATTAAAAATACATTGCATAAGCTGATACATGGCAAGTCTAATAACTAATGAGTCATTATAATTTGTTCTAAAGAGAATTTGGAATGTAAAAATATTTTAATAAAAGACTATTAACACATATCTTACATTTTTAACTACCTCTGCGGCCGAGTGGTTTGTACGCCGGGTTTCAAGGTGTCGCCGACACGAGAGGTCCCGGGTTCGAATCCCGGTGGGGGCAGATGTTTGTGTGATGAATATGAGCATTTGTACTCTAGTAAACATCCATGTTTAATATGTATTTCTATATAAATATACTTACATATGTATCAGTCTATGTATTCTATCCGTTACCCTAGTATCCCATAACACCAGCCTACAGTGGTTACTTTGGGGCTAGGCTAATGGGTGTGAGCGGTGAAATATTTATTAATGAGGGCTATCGTTTTTTGTCTCACCAGATGGCGCCACTGTTGAGTGAGGTCCTGAAGTGTATCTTTTAAAGTTAGTAAACACGCTCGTGATATCAAAGTTTACATTTTAATACAAAAGAATCGTATCTTAAACATAATCGCCCATGCCACAGTGTAGCGTAGTCCCGTTTTGTTCGGAAAAAAGAAGGACAATATTTTTTCTTAGCTCCGCTTTTAAATAACTGACAATCATTGACACGTAACTCATATTTGCCATAATAAGTCTGATTTATTACCAAATATTCACAACTATTATTTTAATTAGAAAAAAACCGCGTAGTCAACCCGCAAGCTATAACATTTGACATTTCGGAGACCTCACGCAACACAAGCGCCTCTAGCGGCGGTTTCAGACGCGATAGCCCTCATTGCATATGGGGCGAAACAAAAAGGCATTATGTAAGTCACTTTGTAACTTTTTCATCTAGATAGCTGAAATTAACCGGATATATACATAGCTATATAGTTTTCTATTACTTAAGTGCAAATTTCAAAATTAGCAGCCAAACATGAAATTAACGTTTTAGAGTTCTGCACGTAAAAATAACTTATAGGCTCGCTTCGTCTGTTTGTGAAGAGACTTCGTCTAGGATATGTATGGAGGTGTCGAGTTGAAATTAAACTTGACGACTCTGTATATATCAATACAGGGAGAAAAAAGCAGCCCTTGCTGAGTTTCTTGCCGGTTCTTCTCAGTACAAGGTCTCTCGCCGTAGTTTAGCGAACCGATGGCGTAGCTTCTTGACCTTCACAAGTGCTTGTAACAGCCTAGACTGAATAAATGACTTTTCATTTCATTTCAACCATATACAAACTTACTAAAATCTGCGATCCCTCAAACTTCCGGGTTAAGGTATAGTGGAATTTCCGCTAGATTAGGGTGCCCCTTTCTGTTCTGTGAGTGCCCCTTTGTGACAGTAACGTCCACGTTTTACTCCCCCCCGTGGCGAGATGCCATCCGCCTGGAATACCTCTGCACTCGCCAATTCTCGGCTTGAGGTCCACTTAGGATCTCGCTGTCCCCAACCCGGTGACGCTGTAAAGGTCATCTGCGACCAACAGATTAAACACTAAAAAAAAACTTTTCACAAGAGCATAGTGCAATAACACTGTCTCTGCTGCAGCCTATCATAGTCCACTGCTGGACATAGGCCTCTCCAATTGCACGCCACTCAGATCGATCTTGGGCTACTCGCATCCAGCTCCTGCCAGCCACCTTGCGCAAATCGTCACTCCATCGTGCCTGAGGACGTCCTACACTACGTTTGCCTAGACGCGGTCTCCACTCCAGAACTCGTCTACCCCAACGGTTATCGGTTCTTCGGAAAATATGGCCAGCCCACTGCCACTTCAACTTGCTAATCCGGTGGGCTATGTCGATGACTCTGGTTCTCTGTCGTATTAGAATAAATTAGTGAAATGAAATGAAATGAAAAGTCATTTATTCAGTCTAGGCTGTTACAAGCACTTGTGAAGGTCAGAAGCTACGCCATCGGTTCGCAAAACTACGGTGGGAGACCTTGTACTGAGAAGAACCGGCAAGAAACTCAGCAAGGGCTGCTTTTTTCTTCCTGTATTGTTATATACAGAGTCGTCAATTTGAAAAATGACTTCAGAGGTACATCTGAAGTCACCTTCCATTACATCATTCAGGATATAGATATATACAGTTACAATAATATTTTTATATTTAGTATATAGGAAGCGGCATTAGATACGTACCATATAACTGTTACAAAAACTGACTAATACCCGTCAAATAACAAATTACAAGAAACACTATGTCCATGCCTTACGATCATTTAGATAATCATCAATTTTATAATAGCCCTTATTCATAAGAGTATTCTTAATCTGAGATTTAAATTTGGTTAGTGGAAGCTCAATCAGATCTTGGGGAACTTTGTTAAACAATGCAATACTACATCCCAGAAATGAACCTCTTGATTTTTGGAGTCTGAAACAAGTAACAATCGTTAATTAATTGTGCTGTACGTTTGATCATCTGCCAATTTCTCAAGTGATAAACGGATGTTAAAATTAACTAGATTCACGCTACAGTTATTCTAAGAACTATAAGTGTTTATTATTTATGTTCCGAATGCTATTAGTAGTGCTTATTGGAACTGTTAAATTACACCACACAAAGCAATAAAGTAGCACGTGTTATTTGTTATGCTAACATAACAAACACATTCTATTAAATCAATGGAAACCGTAAAACAAAAGCCATGAAATATTCGCTGGCACGGCAAAGACAAAGCTGAGTACGCGCACGGCGTAGTGTAAAAGAACGCGTGCTAGAAAGAGATAGTTAGCGGTCCCGCTATTTGAACGCAAGTAAACATGACGGCGAAGCGTTCGCATCTGTATGGCGTGAGTCGTAAAGCTGAAATTCGCTTGTGCTCAACTTAGATCCGTGTTGCAAACTTCAATGGAACCAGTCTGACGCAAACCTCTGGCCGGACGAGATGCGTGTTTGTTAAACAGACATTTTTACGATAAACTTTGTAGTTATTTCGTTCCCGTGACGTATGAGCGGCGATCGTATGAAAAGCGCAATTCATAAGTGCAGGTAGTGCCTCATTCAAGTGCATTGTGTGTGTGAATAGTTGATTGAAGCAATAGTGGTGTTGAGCAAGGCTTGCTTTTAAGGTCATCTTGGTCTGAGGCTGTCTTCGTGAGTTTTTTAGTGCTACGGTAAGTGTGTAATCTGATTTTATGGTCACTGGGCTGTGATAGGTTCTGTTGTTTTGACATTAGGCTGTATAAAAGTTATGTACATACAACATTGTTTTATGAGTTGCGATGATATTCGTTGGTTTTTGATACGTTATCTCCGCTAAATAATTGTGTTTACATTTAATATTTATACTAAATATTTCTAACAATAACGTACTAATTAACATATTTACGGTACGGCTTGTGTTATGAGGACACTAGGGTAAAGTACCGAATGGATAGAAATACTTAAAGATAATTGTTTACTTTTGTATAATATGAACGGCCATGAATTTGGGTACTTAATTCCATTATATGTAATTGAATTTCGGGGTAATTTGTAGGGGAGGGGGAGGGGGGCTCCCCTCGACCCCCCCGCCATAAAAGATTTTTGGCGGGAATGCAGTTTTTTTGGCGGGAATTATAAAAAAATTTAGAGGGGTTTTAAAGGTAAAACTGTACTTCCAGGGCCTAGAGGTGATATTTGATTTTTTTGTAGAAAAAGTCTCTATTAACGAATTTTTCTTTCTGGCGCTACCATAGACAACGAGAAACATGTTATTTTTGCATAAAAAAATGGCAGCACTGATCAAAATTGCTGTCAAAATTGACTCATAACCTACAAAAGTATTAATTTTCAATATTTTTTATCTCGAGTTCTATTCGTTTCCGCCTAAAAAGATTTCGTGTGCGTGTTTTTAATAGTTAATACTTTGCGTGACATAAATTTCAGCTTGCAACTCAATTACATATAATGGAAAGCTGAGCTTGAATTAGGTACAAATGCTCGTATTCATCATACAAATATTTGCCCCACCGGGATTAGTACGCAGGACCTCTGAGTGGTTGACACTTTGAAAACCGGCGTACATATATAGGTACGCACATACATTTCGTATTTTGGTACACATGAATTATAATAGACGACCTAATTCAAAAGAAGGCGAAAGTATATCTTTATATATATAATTCTTCTGTGAGTGTGTATGTCACTGAACTTCTCTTAAACGACTGGACCGATTTTGATGAAATTTTTTGTGTGTGTTCAAGGGGATCTGAGAATGGTTTAGATTCACAATTTTGTCCGCTGGACAACCCCTATTTTTTTAGGGCGGTACGAAGTTCGCTGAGTCAGCTAGTAATATATAAAAGTTGATTTAAATGACATTTAGTTATTTAAAGTTTTACAAAAAATAATTATTTACATTGTGAAAAAATGTGATTAATTGGGGCGGAAAAAAATTTTCTTATTTTTTAAAAAAAAAACCGGGCAAGTGTGATTCGGACTCGCGCAAGAGAGTTCCGTACAAACCTGTACGTATATTTTAATAATTATTAAAAAATGATTTTTATTGAAGTTATATTCATTATGAATGCGTTATGAAAAAATTATGAGAGTGAAATTTTAAGATGCGCGCGCATCACTGTAACACAATAGTAACACCATGAAGTTGGCCGCGGGGGCGTTATGAATGTTAGTGTCTAATAATGGTGGATTATTAACCACTTAGTGGTTAATAATCCACCATTATTAGACATCTGTTCGAAAGGTACTTTGAACGATCCACGGAGCTCCATAAGATGATCGCGTTGTCAAAAACAATGTTGGCACGCTCGTCGCCTCTGATCACTGTTTTCATATTTATAATATTTATCCACATGTTTCTAGTTTCTATATAGACACAACGTGTTTGAGTTACTTACAAGTGCTAATTACATATGGACTAATAACTTAAATTCAGTAGTGATTTTAATTGAATATTTTGAATATTTATTTAATTTTTCAAATTAAAACTGAACTTAATTGACTGTGTTAACTATCCTTTTCCAGTCCTTTTATTATTTTATTGTAATTATTAATTATTTGCATGCAATTAAAAAATATTTTTAATGATGCTAAAGAAGTATAACTTCTCACGCGCGTACATAAGTTACACGCATCCATTTTTTTATATGATGTAACTAAAATTTACGGTTTTCGCAATTTTTCCTTTATCTGTACTATAAGACGTTACTTCGTACCAAATTTCAAGATTCTAAGTTCACGGGAAGTACCCTGTAGGTTTGATTCCCGTGCGAGTTACGAAAATTTGCGGCAATTTGCGGCATTAATGGCTGTATCTTTTAATTACTTTGGCTTAGAAGTTTGATTTTTTCACAGCCCCAAGAGACAGTTGACCTCAGTATTAGATATGAATTTCAGTTTGATACCTCCACGCGTTAATGTGAAAAACGGTCTTGACAGACGGACGGACAGACGGACGGGCAATAAAGTGATGCTACTCGTATAAGGGTTTCGTTTTTTGCAGCAGACGGGACTCGAACCTTGGGTGCGGCCCTTCGCTATCCGGGCGAATGTACTGACCATTATGCTACCGCGGCCCTGATGGGCGTAAGACTATAATTGCTATTTCTTCTTTCAAATGTTTAATACTTGTAAAGGTATTCATTTGACATTGTGGGTTACCTACAATGCGAAGAGATGGCGCTGCCTTGCAGCTTAAGGCTAGAGAAATTCCGATACAGCCATCAGGGCCAGTGCATTCGCCCGGATAGCGAAGGGTGCGGGTTCGAGTCCCGTCTGCTGCCTGGTGCGCGTGGATTTTTTCTAGCAATATTTTCTTTAAATTTATACCTCCTTCTTTTCGAAGTCTGTAAAAAATACGGTCGAATATTGACTAAGCGGCACATTAACATTATATCTTACTAGCGGCCCGCCCTCGCTTCGCTTCGTTGTAGAGCTGAAGTGTAGACTACAGTTTTTGTTCTCAGGCTTGTATTATACACAATGATCTATGATTCTTCTTATACCTGCATGCAAAGTCTCAGCCCGATCGGTTAAAAACTGACAAAGTTTCATACAAACTTTCATTCCCTATTTCATCCCCTTGGGGGTAGAATTGATCAAAATCCTTTCTAAGCGGATGCCTAGGTCATAACATCTACCTGCATGCCAAAATTCAGCCCGATCCGTCCAGTGGTTTGGGCTGTGCGTTGATAGATCACTGTGTCAGTCAGTCACCTTATATATATATCAACATTGATAATTCCAGCTCTGGTGGGAGCACAATGTTGTTTGTATCACCCCAACTATTACAATTAAATATATTTTTAGGTCCACTTATCAGTTATGTGACCTTGAGTCTGCCACGCCAGCCTGGGAGCCAAACGAACAGCGTAGAACAACGCCCCGTACTGATAACGTTTCTGCGCACAGAGTAAAGACCTTTTTGAAGTGAAACTTCTTAACGCACGCTTGACTTAGGGGGTAAGCTGGCGAATGCGTTATGCGTTACGAATGTTAGTTCGGGCGAGGCGAACGGGAGTTGAGTGGGTGGAGGTTATAAGCAAGAGAAAGCAGTGCGCGCGCACATTTTCTCTCTTTCTCTTATAGCGAGTAAATTAAATATGTTTATATAAATAGTGTATATATTGTACACACACACACACACATATATATATATATATTCATACAGATGGAGCTAAAGAGACCTCAGTTGCTGCGGCAGAAACGTGTGCCGTTACAGCCAACCTCACTTTGCCGGCATGAACCTTCAGAGACGTTTCTAGATCTTGTAGCAAAAACAAAAAACATACAAGTTTTTTGTTTTTGTTTTTGCATTGGTAATAACAATATTAAAAAAAAATGAGCGTGAGGCATTTGAAAACCTTCGGCGGTCAGAAATAACAAAATAAAATCGAAAGCGTTAGGGTTTTCCAAAGCATTTCCGTTAGGCGAATGGCCCCCTGGTCAAGTTATGAGCATTTGCTCACACATGCGCGCCTGCCCCGCCCACAAGGCCCTTCCAACCTCTTCCTGTGTTCTGCGATGACCCCCGGCCTCACTTCCTAACATATTTTATTAAAAGTTAAATAGATACTTTTTATAAACTACTATTATACAAAACATATTACAAGAAAATAATTATTTTGGAAGAAAATTGCGCGCTACTTCTTGAAATTCTTATTCTCTTTCATTGAAACCGAACTTTCGATAGCGAAGGCACGGTAATAATACCGTGGCGAAGGTCAAACGAAATTTGAACGTTAAACTATCAAATTTAAGCTTTAATTGAGAAGGCTTAGAAAATATGCACCTTAATCTATATTCCAACGACGAATATTATAATTATAAACGAACCAGACGCAATAGTAAGAAAAGTGCGAAGTTTCGATCGAGTAGGCCTCCTGACATGTTTTATAGTCTACATTTACTCTAACTAAAAAATAAAAGTGTACTGTTACGATTAAAAAGTTGTTCTACGATACACCTTTTTTTTTGTGTCTGGAAAATGCCTTACGCATCCTTCAACCACTGGGGGAGCGAGCAGAAGATATGTGGGAGTCCCACCCCTCCCTGTCCTCTTCAGCCAGCCCTGGAGCTCGCTGAGGGCCCTACCTACGCCCTGAACAGGGCCACTAAAAACCAGACAATACTCGTGCACCGTCACCCGGCACGCACTATGAGGACCGCGGTCCCCCTAGTGCGTGCCGAGAGAGCGGGTGTGGTCGCGGAACCCGTCTCCGAATGGCCGCGCACAATGTAATGAGTTTTATTTTTAATTTTATGTATGTGGGTTATATAGATGCGTCTTTAGAGTAACTATCTTTAAATTCGTAGTTTTGAATATTACGACATGAGTGTAGATAAAAAATATTATAAATGATCTTGACCGCGACTTGCGGTCGACAGATTCACAATATTACCTTTTTTTTAAACAAATCAATTAACAATATCACAGAATCGTTACAATGTCGAAAAACAAGTTCCTGCGTTGAAACAAGTTCCTACGCAGATCATAAAACCAATATTTTTCCAAGTTCAAAAATAACTTACCGTACAGGTTTTTATAAAATTTGGGTTTTCCATTAAAATGGGGTTACCCTTTTCTAAAATATATATGCTTCATCATCATCATCATCAGCCTATTAATGTCCCCACTGCTGGGGCACAGGCCTTCCCTATGGATGGAATAGGGAGATAGGTCCATGACTAGGGCTGCCATCTCTAAAATGTGGCAACCAGGATAAGACGCGTGATAACCCCGGATTTTGAAGCCCAGAACCCGGACAGACAAATAAAAAAACAGTTAAAAATGTCAAAAATCAACTATTTTATGTTGATCTAGGCAAAAGAGCTAGCGGTCTACCTCATAATAAGTGGTCACTGCTGTCCATGAACACTTGCAGCACCAAGGGCCACACATGCGTTGCCGTAAATTTTTAAACCCGGACTACAAATAAAACCCCGCCCGGACTCTCCCCGGACGCCCCGTAAACTAGGACAAATCCGGGGAAACCCGGACGGATGGCAGCCCTAGCCATGACCCACCACGCGGGCTAATGCGGATTGGCGGGTGCTAACGACTGCAGATGCAGCCGGGACCAATGGCTTAACGTGCCTTCCGAAGCACATAAGAAACTCGAGATAGAAGATTTTTGGTCACCCATCCAATGACCGACCACTGCGAAAGTTGCTTAACTTTAACGATAGCCACTGCGCCATTGAGCTCCTCAGCGTCTACTGAATATATATATATATAATTAACTTGTTTATTGGTCCTCCATTTTTGCACAAAAAGTTCACTGTTGTTGTATTAAGCGGGTGGAGCTCGCGCGTAGAGCTCTGAACTGGAGCTCTATTTTGAATCACTCGTCTTGCGTCGAACGCCCGATTTCTACTAAATTTCATTCGACATAATTAATTCCGTATTTTTGAATCGCTCGAGTGCATCGAATGGGTGAGACCACTCGCTGCATGGCGAACGGTGGAGGCGAATGATAGAATAATAGTCAAATTATTTGTACTATTAGACGACGATAATCTATCATTGTCATGCTTTATATGAAACAACAACGAGAATTTTTTGTTCGGTTTTTATTTTTTCTGCGTGAAATAAGTAAAATTTCGTATTTCGTATCAAACAGGTAACACTGGTGACGGGTGATTCAAAAATACGGTAAATCAGTATTATGCGACTTGAAAGTTGAAGGTGACTTATGTCGCATTCGACGATACTATGTCAGACGAGTGATTCAAAAATAGAGCTCCTGGTTCGAGATATCGTGTCCGTGAGCGGTGTCTTTGTGTGCGTTGCTTAAGCGCTGTATGTAGATTATCTTCTGTTATGTCTATTTTTTGATTAAAACCTTCACGATGGCCGTTTTTTTTGTAGTTTTTTTTCTATATGACTTCGTACGGTTTGTGCATTAAGCCAATGTCAAGTGTAAAATGTTTACATATTCTATAGCACTCGTGGTCAAAATATTAGTCAAAGTAAGTGGCAGTCAGGTCAAGTCAATCCCCCTTTCCCTATGTTTCAGTAAATGTGTGGGGATTTACTGGAACCTCCCCGTGGACTTCTTGAGGGAGCGTCGAAAGACACTTTCCGCTATTTTGTTTCACTTGCCAACACTTGTGCATGTTTCCGAACACATAGTGATTAATAATCCACCATTATTAGACACTAACATCCGCCACAACCTTAGATTAAAACAAAAAGGGTAGATACGGCACTAGCCTCACAAAAGTGATCCGCATGAATTGTGGTCCACGAGCCTAATCGCTTTAGTCACAACTTGACATGCAAACAACGTACATGTGAACGCCAAAAAGAAATATTGCTAATATTTTGTGTTTATATGATAAAACAATGCCTGTGTGTTTTTAAAAAGTGCTCAAATTTCTCAAGAACTAAAAATAAAACCCACGGCATCACTTTTCATTCGTAAGTACTATAAAATATATTTTTTCATAATAATTGCTGTTTGTTTTGAATCTTATTCGGTAGTGACGCCGAGTACTGGTCGCCTGATTGGTCGGTAGTGCAGTGACGCGGATCTCGCCGTCTCGTTCGCGCTGCCGTTGAAACTTAACGTGCTGTTTCGTTCGCGTCGGTAATGCAGTGACGCGGATCTCGCCGTCCCGTTCGCGCTGCCGTGGGATCAGTTTTTGTTTGATGCAAGTATGAGCGTACCGTATCTACCCTTTTTGTTTTAATCTAAGGCCACAACACAATTTTTTACAAGAAAAACAAAACTGCTACAGTGACGCTTCCCGATCCCGCCAAAAGTCCTTTTGTAGCGTTATTGATCGCGTGATTAGATCCTGCTACTCGTAAATTTACCAATCAGTATGCGCGAGCGGACAACACAATACTGACAACGACGACCGGTTTATTTACACAGAACACGCGCGTCGCACTATCCGTATAGAGATCATCAACCTTCTTATTATTTGATGTAGAGTATAATTTAGTCTGAGGAGCCAATAAAGCTTGACGGCAAATCTCACCGATGTAATTATCATGTAGAAAAGAAACCCGATTAAACTGTGGAGTTATGGAAAGACATTGGGGACCTTGACTCGACGATATTGACAGTTATGTCGAAAACGCAAACCCGATTATTGGATGCCAATATTTTTTGTAAACTTTTTGTGCCTCGTAGCTGATATGGGGACTGGGGGTTTGGTGTAGGTTTTTAAATGTATGTACCTACAAAATAAAAGTGGTTTAACGCACTCGGCCTGCGATCGTGAATGTTAAGCAACTTTCGTAATTTGATGGGTGGCCAAAAATTATAATAATTTATTATTATTATTTCCAACACTCAAACCAATTAGCCTAGACCTAAAAGTAAGCACTGTAAGGCTTGGATGCTAGGGGTAACGGTTAGAATACATATACTGTACATATATAAGTATATTTATATAGAAATGTACATAATAAAATGCTCGTATTCATCACACAAACATCTGCCCCCACCGGGTTTGCACCCGGGACCTCTCGAGTCGGCGACACCATGAAACCCGGCGTACAAACCACTCGACCACGGAGGTCGACGATTATCTCTCACTCCTCCGTGCTTCGGAAGGCACGTTAAGCCGTTGGTCCCGGCTGCATCTCCAATCGTTAGCACCCACCAATTCGCACTGGACCGGCGTGATACAAGGCCCAGACATTAATAGGCTGATGATGATGATGATGACACTTGTGTCCAGGAGAATGCTCTGTACATTCCCTTTCTCTTTAAGTCTGCCTAACAACAATGTTTCTATATTGTTTTAAACTTTACCTTGTTTTTTATGAGTCTCCGATATTTCGGCACCGTTGCAAGCGCCATAATCACGGAGTTACTGAAGTAATTGCGGGTAGATGTTATTGGCAGTCTACCCTCTGACGTCGTTTTTTACTGCGCTCGATACCCGTACCACTGGTCACATTCTCACTATTCACTCGCACTCGTTCCCGACACACAATACTCCGTGATCATGGCGCTTGCAACAGTGCCGAAATATCGGAGACTCATAAAAAACAAGGTACATGGTAACAATCCCGTTAATAGCTATAAAACAATGTTACTTTTGTCCGCAGCAACCATGCTTCCACGACGGTAGCATGCGCCTGACAGCAGCTTTAACATGCGCGGCCCTGCTATCGCTCGGGGTCGCGCGGGCGGGGAGGGGGAGGTGCCCCCCCGCCTGCGCGTGCGGCTCCGCGGAGGGGGAACTGGACTACGTCTGCGGGGGAGTGAACGTTCGAGCGCTGGCCAATGACTTCGCCAAGATTACTTGCAAGGTATCAGCCATCGTCATAATCAGCCTATTAAAGTCCCCCCTGCTGGGACAAGACCTTCCCTGTAGACAGAATTCCGTTTAAGCTCCAGAATGTCCCGCGGTTCCGCTGAATGGGAGCTGGATTAACGCTGCGAGAGCTTACGCTGGCTTACTTGCATATCAGGGCTTGAAACCGTTTTCGAAAATACCGGTAAATAAAGGTTAATACCGGTTTTTAGTAAAGGTTTCGTTCGGAACGCGTCCGAAATGAAAGCGGTACCTAAAACCTTAATAAACCGGTTTAATCCAGAGCGACACGTGCACGCGTCGGCATCGCTTGAAGTTTGTTTTGTTTGAACTAATCAAGTCACAACTTGTTAATGCTCAGAGATTGATGCATTTATTGACACGTTTGCTAGCGTCTAGTGAGTCAAATTATTCATTTATTATCGATGCCGTCAGTGAGAGCGAAATGAAACCCTTTAAAAACCGCTAAATTGATTCAAAACCTATTTGATTTCGCTTATTAGGAAAACCGGTTTTTTAAAGTTAAGGTAGAGCCAAACCTAAATAAAACGCTCCTAATGTACTTGACACTGATTTAGGTTTGAAAATTAACCGGTAAACAAGCCCTGGTGCATATATCACCATCAGGCTTTTAATGTTCCCAATGCTGGACAGGCCTTCTCTATTGACGAAAATAGATATTGATGACCCTGACCCACGCAATGCGGATTACGGTACTGACGACTGTTGATGCAGCCACGACCGACAGCTTAACCTGTTTTCTGTAGGACGGAGGTGCGTTTGTCACGATCGCGCTAACCACTTGCACCATTAGACTCCTCAAAGGTATAAAGTTATCGATATCTTAAAACAATAATAGACTTCCACATTACACCTTACGTGCATCTTGGAATTAAGAATCTTGTGGCGAATAAGGTCGTTAGAGATGCACGGAGAAACATGGTGTCACGAGCGAGCGTTTAATAGACCATATTTTTGGAAGTCACTCATTACAAGGCTGGACAAGACATACCAAGACATGACTGAGGTAGTCACTCATCGTAAAGGCTGGCTAGATATGTGTTTCCTTTACATTCTTTTCCGTTACACCATTGTACTCAGTATGACAATATTCTATTATATTCCATTCCATTCTATTCAGTTCTGTTCTGTTCTGTTCTGTTCTGCTCCGTTCCATTCCATTGCATTCCGTTCTGTTCTATTCTGTTCCGTTCCACCCCATTCCATTCCATTCCACTTCACTCCACTCCACTCCACTCTACTAAACTCTATTCTATTCTATTCTATTCCATTCTACTTACAAAAAACTATTTTTTTCCGCAGGATGTCACCAATATATGCGATGAGCTGCCGTTCATCCAGCTGTCCTCCAACGATACCCTGAACAGCGTGAGTCTTACAGACTGCCCTGTACCTGAGACCTTCAGGTGCGTGCTGGAGAGACTCGGAGCTGCTGATGTTGAGAGGGTCTCCTTCATCGCGCCGAGAGGGGAGCTGCGGGTCAACAATATGGAGGGATTGAAGAGGACCAGCCTGCTGGTGTTGATGAAAGCAGGTGAATACCAAAGTGTTCTTTTTACCAAGGCTACTCGGGCCCATCTGTGAATCGAATCCAATTGAGAGCAAAGGGAATCAGTAACTGTCAATCAATATTTGAATGATAAAACGCCTTGGTTGTAATTTTATCTGTAGATAATTTTTCAAAAGTTATATTAAAACTAAGGCTCCCAGCCTTAGAAAGAGTTTTGAAGAGAACCTTGCACTTACTCCCATTCATATACTTGTTCATTTTGTTTTGAAAATTGTTTCTTGCTATTTCGGGACTTTTCTTTGCACTTATTGTTAGTAAATTCGTTGATTGTCTATTGTTACATATTTGACATTATGTGATGGAAGTTGACCTCAACACATGTTTACAAGTTTGATGTCAACTTTCAATTGGACGACACTCTATGAAATAAAACAGGGAGAAAAAAATCAGCCCTTGCTGAGTTTCTTGCCGGTTCTTCTCAGTACAAGGTCTCCCGCCGTAGATTTGCGAACCGATGGCGTAGCTTTTCGACATTCACAAGTGCTTGTAACAGCCTAGACTGAATAAACGATATGGAATTTTGAAAAGTAGTAGTTGAAAGCAAAGTAAGTTGATGAGGCAAATATTTTCCGCTCCAGCCATCCACACATTGCCTTTATGTATCCAACTCTCGTACCGCGTGGAGCTCTAGTTTCTACGTAATCACTTTCTTTTATTTTCTGTAATCCCTTGATCTTGATATACCTCAATTATTTTGTACTCTCCTAGGTCATTTATTGTACTTGCTGCTATTTTCTAAAGAATAACGATTATGTTTCATTTAGTTCAACAAAATCTGAAATTATCTTCTCCCGGTGGATTTTCCTTATATTCACAATATGTCAATTTTAAAACGGCAAGTATTCCCTTCTTCTACAGAGCATGCAACGCATGAGTTAATCAACCACTTAACATCAGGTAGACTCAGCTCCGTTGCATAAAATTTGAAACTAAAATGTTAACAAACGCATCGATTTCAACCTGCAGCCGATCAATCCAGCGTTCCATATGACATCCTTCGCGCGCTACCGTCTCTCCGAGACTTCCGACTACGCGGTGCCAAGCTTCACCTCCCAGCTGACGAGTCATCCGAGTCGGACGAGACTGGCGATTCGCCCGCCTATCCCTCGCTGCTGTACGTCGAGTTATCCTCGGATCTGATAGAGGAAGTGCCTCATGGTGCTTTCAGAAGACTTAAGGGACTACCGCAGCTGTACCTGTGGGACAATCAGATCAGGAATATCAATAACGAGTCATTTATCGGTGTGTACCATTAGTATTTTGTATTCTATGGAACCATACCCAGAATAGAGGTGATGACGGGGTACAGTAACTAAATTCTATTTAGTCCGTCAGTTAGATGATCAAAAAATAATGGACACGTATTTTTTCTTTGGGCAATCAACCAAAAAATGACAAAGTTATAGCGCGTCAAAGTTTGGGAGTAGGGGCTCGTGACGTCACTTTTGAGTGAATTTTCACTTATAAGTGTACTCAAACGTGACGTCATGCGACTTTTCAAATCAATATATCTCTGCAATGTTTATATTATGTGAAAAAAGAAAAAATACGTGTCCAATACTTTTTGATAATCTACCTGATAAACAAAGAAAAAACTTTTGTTCGCTTCGCTTGTTTTTCTCCACTGTATAAACAGGGCGTCCCACGGGCATGCCACATGGAGGGAAAGTATATAAAGTATTGAAGAAAGTAGAGAAATTATTTAAAGAGTAAGAATTTGTATACTACGGAAGGAAACACATTTTGAACATTTGATAAATTAAATAAAAAAAAACTTACATGTCTTTTTTATTGTAGTTTGTCTTCAATCGTTTTAAATGAAATTTTAAATTTCATGATCTTCCTCTCATTTAAAATGCTATGTTATTTAGGAAAAATAATTCTTACGATTAATCCTTTCGCCGGTTATCATAAAATACGTGATGTATTTTTTTCACATTTCACGAGTATGATTTGCGGATAAAAAATCTGTGAAAACAGTTCTTATGATTAAAAATAAAATGTTTTTTTTCAGTAAAATGTCCTATCTTCAATATTTAATATACTTTCCCTCATTGTGGCAATGCCGTGGGTCGCCGTGTATACCTAGTCAGGTCATAAATTCTGTCACATGTTTAATATAAAATAATTGAAACAAGGTTATTCATTATGTAACCATTTATAAATAACATAAAATGAACTTAACAAAACATAGATTCTTATGAAAATAAAGTTTATTCAAAACGACCTCCGTGATTTTGAATACAGGCCTTCAATCTGCGCGGCCAGTCGTCTATCGCAGCACGAACGAGGTCCATGTCAATATCGGCGGCTGCCTTAATCAAGGATGTCTTGAGTGACTACAAATAGGGATGAGGCTTTGAGCACGCCTTTTCCTCCAAGTGTTGCAATATCTTGTAATCTAACGGACTCAAATCTGGACTGGAAGAGGGCCAGTCTTCGTGCCGGATGAAGTCGATTTCACGCGCCGCAAACCATACTTGTATGCTTTTCGCTCTATGAGCTGGCGCCGAATCTTGTTGGAATACCCAGTGCCTGTTATTGAACATGGTATGAGAAACAGGTTCCACAAGGTTCGTCAGGACTGTATTTTGATACACAACTGCATTCGTTTTTACACCTTTCTCACAAAAATGTACCTCTGTTAAGCCCCAATAAGAAACTCCCAACCATACCATGACCTCGTTAGACACGCGGAGTACGGTTGCTCGCTTCTTCACTACTGTGTGCCTTATCATTTTGTGTTGTAGCTCTCTTCTACGGTAAAAAAATTTACATCCGACAAAAGAATTTCCCAAAATTTATTCCGCATACCGCTTCAACAAAGCGCGGCATCTCTTCAGTCTCAGGTCCATTAGACGAGCATTCAAACGATGTCCTGTTTTTCTTCGATATGCCCGAAGCCCTAAGTCTTCATTTAACTCCCTTTTCTGGTTGGACATAGGCCTCCTCAAGGGATTTCCAAACACAACGATCCTACGCTCTCTGCAACCATTGGGTCTCCCCGATTCGCTTGATGTCGTCCGTACTATAGATTAAACAATTTTTGATTAGTTTATAATTTATATCGGTTCGATGCTTAATCAACAGGAATGGAGAGCCTCGAGCAGTTGGATTTATCTCGGAATCCCTTTAAGGTTCTACCACCAGGAGTGTTTGCCCACACTCCGCGACTGAAGGTCCTGACCCTCACGAAGACTGGGCTTGAGGAGATCCCGAAAGGTGCCATCACAGGACTACAAATGTTGGAGGAGGTGAGAAGTTGGTCATATATCTATTTTTGAAACACTAGAAATGCAAAAAGAATGAAAAAATTACGAAATAAGGTGAATATAAATATTTATTCAAAATTAAAAAGAACAAAGAAATTTCGTTTATTCAGTCTAGGCTGTTACAAGCACTTGTGAATGTCAAAAAGCTACGCCATCGGTTCGCAAATCTACGGCGGGAGACCTTGTACTGAGAAGAACCGGCAAGAAACTCAGCGAAGGATGTTTTTGCCGAATGAGAATGGCAATGAATGAAGACTAAAATGACGTCATCATCATCATCATCCTATTAATGTCCCCACTCAGCAGCGGGCAGAGTCCTTCCCTATGGATGGAATAGGGAGATCGGGCCATGACCCACCACGCGGGCCCAGCGCGGATTGGCTGGTGCTAACGACTGCAGATGCAGCCGGGACCAACGGGTTAACATACCTTCTGAAGCACGGAGAAGCTCGAGTTAGTAAAATTTCAGTCACCCATCCAATGACCGACCACTGCGAAAGTTCACTCTCTCATCAAAATGAAGTCACACGCTAGTAAACTTTCCGGTCAAAGTGACATTGCAGTGTATCGTTTGACGTATGAATGACAGTCGCGTGACTTCACATACAAGTAAGACGCCATGGTGTCCAGATAAATGTTTTATTTATTTAATTTTTATTGCCTTTACAATGCAAATGGCGGACTTAATGCCAGTATGGCATTGTCTACCAGTCAACCAGGCAACTTGAAAATGAAAATTTTGATTAAGTCAGTTTAACTGAAATACACAACAGAATGATGAATATACACTTTTTTAAGGGCTTCATAATAACGTTAGATATTTTTTTAATACTTGTCAATTACCCAATTGTTATAGTAAATAAACAAATAATAGCGCGTCGTAACATTGACGTTAAACAGATTAAAATTGGCACGCGCGAGCGCCGTAGCGAACGGACGTGTTTTTGCTCGTTAAAGTATTATAAATTATCATCGACCCGCGCATAAAAAAAAAAAAAAAAAAAAGAAGAACATCGTCTGTTTTAGTATTTATAGAATTTTTTTATTGTGTGCATAAGAAGAAGAAATAAAATGAGTACGAAAGTTCAGCGGTCACCAAATAAGCCACGCTCAGTTCAGACCCTTACTGGTTCGCTCACGGATCTGACCGGCTGCGAATCTGCAGCACCAGACGTCATGATAAAGCGTAAAAGGAAGGAACCTGATTCCAACCACGTTCAGAAGGGAGACTTCGACGAGTTCAAGAAGGAAATTATGTCCTTCCTACACGACCTTCGGAAATCCAACGATGAACTTCTGCTTGATGTAAGGTCAGAAATCTCCGAGATGAAGTCACAGGTAACTTCGGTAACTTCAATTATTAACAATTTATCACAGCAAAATAGCGAATTCAAGCTAGAACTAGCGGAGTTGACCAAATCCATGGATTTTCACGCAAAGTCATTCGATGATATGCGAGAACAGTCGAAGGTTCTATCCAGGGACGTTGCGTATCTTAAGAATATGGATCAAGATATTGAAGCATGCAGACTTCGTTTGTCACAGATAGAACGAGACCTTAATATCCAGCAACAAAGAGAGCGCTTGTATAACCTAGAAATAGTGGGATTCATGGAGAATAAAAATGAGAACCTTACTGAGTGCTTTTTATCAATGTGCAAAGCTTTGGATGCTCCAGTTGTTAAGGAAGATATTTTAAACATTTACCGTGTACCTTCGAAAATTTCCGACAAAAAGTATCCTAAAAATATTATCGTAAAAATGAGGAATCAATTAACAAAAGATTTTATCATATCGGCAGTCCGCAGAAAGAAAGGTCTTACATCTGATGACCTTGGTTTAACTACCTCCGATCCTTGGCGTATCTATATCAACGAGCATTTAACGCCATTTTACAAGATGCTGCATAAGAAGACTCGGGAAGCTGCTGCTGGTGCTAACTATCAGCATGTCTGGGTACGCAATGGAAAAATCTTCGTTCGAAAAAACGACACTACGCCTGCACTCAATATAATGGATCTAAAGGATGTGGAGAAGTTGAAATGATCGGTTTGACTGTATTTATCATGATATATAAAATTACTGTTCTCAGGGGAAGCATTCAATGTCTTTTTGAAGTTATATGCGTGTATTATTTGTGTATTTGTGTTTACGTTACATATTTTCAGCGTCATGCAAGTTATTATAATTATACGTATTTAAGGTTGTCTAAGAATATTGCACAATGTTATTTGACAGACCTTTTTAATGTTTATGTTAAGGGAAAACAACTGCCTTGTGTGCTGTTCCGTTTTGGATTGTCCATTCAGGTAAATAATTATTTGCATATCTCATTTTATTTAGACAGCAACTTACTGAACGAATGTCTACGTTATCTTATAACGGAAGGTTCTTATTTAATCTTTATTTTTACATATTTTAGGAAAAAATCGAATATAGTTAACAGCATTCTAATGAATTTACATATAAACTTTATCTTTCTGACATGGAATCTATCAAAAAATAATGTATTAACCACTAAACTAATATACCTGGGCACTATTTACAATATACTTTATAATTTTTATTTAAACTATTTACTGTCCCTGATAAATAACTTAACAAATGTTAATTTGTTCATCAAAGAATTTTGTGATTTGTTATGGATTGAAATGTTACTAGTCTGCAATGGATCATTTTATCTGGGGTGTAACTGTATAGTGATACCGTGTTGCAACTTTGGTGTCCTTAATGTACTATACTATTGGACTAAACTTTTAAGAACTGGACTACTAAAACAACAAACAAGTTTAAATACAAATAAATTACTTTTTAAATGTACCAATTGGTTCAAGTTCATAATATTCACAGTGCATGTACTAATTATTACACAGAGAAAGTTACTGTTAATTTATCTAAATTACCGTGTAATGAGAAGAGGCTTATGTTATTCTATAATTTTGGTTGGATTAATTATGAATTACAGCATGTTATCATATCTATTTCTAAACTATTATTTGTGGATTAGCCCACCAAATATGATGATATTGAGCGGTGAAAAAAATAAGTACTTATAGCTATTGGTTATCTTATCTATTCTTAAACAATAAGTATTTTTTTCTGAATCATAATTTAATATTCTCAACATTATTTATCAAAAAGTCAAAGAGAGACATATCACTTTACTATTTTGTTTTTATTGTGGCAAGGAATGTATTTATTTTGTTTTCACTGCTAATAATTAGTATTTTGTGGCAGTTTCCAGTGACACTGTATAGTGTAATCATGCACAAAAGGAAGTATCAATGTACTAACGAGTTTATAACCCTTATTGTTAAAACTTTTATACCAAAGAACAATAAAGTCAAGTTAAGGTATCAAATTCTAAATGTTTCATTATTTTACTATTATAACTGATATGGCTACTAACAGGCATGATAAAGCAAACCTACACATTTACTACCAGAATGTTCGTGGTTTACGTTCAAAAACTTTAAAGTTGTTTAACAATACACTAGCTAATGACTATGACATCTTATCATTCACTGAGACATGGCTCCAGGACGACGTAATGAACACGGAATTATGTGACGCTAGGTACGATGTGTTTCGTCATGATCGCAACTTGCAGGTAACTGGGAAACAAACGGGAGGCGGTGTGATGCTTTGTGCCCGGCGTGAACTAGAGGCATCCTTGTCTAACGAGTGGCACGGAGCCGCAGCAACTGAGTCATTATGCATATCTATACCGGCTCACGTAATTGGTTCGTCACATAATTTGCATGTTATTTTAATTTACATTCCCCCGGATTTAAACTTTTTTTCTAATCGATTAACTCAAACTGCAAATAGCATACAACACATTACTGAAATGTATCCCTCAGATAGAATCATTATTTTGGGCGATTTTAACTTACCTTGCATAAGTTGGAATAATAATAACGATTATATAACTACTGGTAGAAGTTCTAGGATTCTTAAAGACTGTGCAAATACGTTTGTTGATCATTTATATTTCCTTGATTTTTTACAGTATAACTTAGTCGTTAATAAGACGGGGAAAGTTCTGGACTTATGTTTTAGTTATACCCCCTGTAAAATTTTGCAGTGTCAAAAGCCTATTATCACAGAGGATGGTTACCATCCTGCCCTTGATATTTGGGTAATGGACCTACAAGTGACCCCTCTAGTAGACATCAAAACTCGTCAGTTCAATTTTTATAAGTGTGATTATGGTAGACTGAATGAATACTTTACTAAAATTAATTGGGATGAGTTGTTATTAAGTAGCTCAGTTAACGAGGCTGTCAACGTATTCTATGACAAATTAAAAACTTCTTTTTCTTTATTTGTTCCTTTGTCAAATAGTCCTAAAGGGTCCTATCCATCTTGGTACAGTCCTGCCTTAATAAAAATCAACAAAGAAAAGATGTTAGTACATAGACGCTGGAAAAGATATGGTAACCCCAGGGACTATGACGAGTTCAAGTTACTTAGAGAACGACAGCATAGATTACAGAAAACTTATTTTAAGCATTTTATTGATTCATCCGAAAAACTCTTGCAAAAGTCACCCAAATATTTTTGGAACTATATCAAAGGTAAAAGGAATACCAGTAGTTACCCTAAAACTTTTTCACACTCCAATAACTTTTATTCTAGTGGTGAAGATATATGCAGGGCCTTCAGTGAGTTTTTTGAGAGCGTTTTTGTGAATTCAACTGAGTCACATCATCCACTGCCGGAGGGAATTCCTTGTAGCGAGGAGCATCTTGCCCGGATCCATATAGACGAGGACCGAGTACTAAAGCTTCTGCAGTCTTTGGACGCAACTAAAGCTGCTGGATGTGATGGCGTGCCCCCAGTACTGCTGGCATCTTGTGCGAAAAGTCTTTCGGCTCCTATCACCATGTTGTTTAATAGATCGCTTAAAGAGTGTGTTTTCCCTGATGTTTGGAAGCAGGCCAGAATCGTGCCAGTGCATAAGAAGGGGTCTAAGTCACTCATAGAGAACTATCGGCCAATTTCGATCCTCAATACGGTAAGTAAATTATTCGAGAAGGTAGTTCTTGAGCAAATTTACTCCACCATTGCTAAAGGTATTCCGCAGAATCAACATGGATTTTTGAGACGCCGCTCTACTGTATCGAACCTAACACTGTTTTCAAATTATGTTCTTAATGGAATGGAGAAGGGTGGACAAGTTGACGTAATTTACACGGACTTTGAAAAAGCGTTTGACCGCGTAGACCACGGTATCCTCATCCATAAACTTCAATGCCTCGGTATTCATGGTGATTTATTACGCTGGGTCCAATCATACTTAACTAAAAGGTCTCAGATGGTCGTTCTTGGTGGATACAGATCTGACTTTGTCACTGTCCCTTCTGGAGTTCCACAGGGCTCGCATCTCGGTCCTCTGTTTTATAATGCGTATATCCACGACATAGATAAGGTAATCAAGAACTCAAACCATCTTCTGTATGCTGACGATAAAAAGATATTCATGAGTGTGCGCGATGTTGCTGATTGCCAAAAGTTGCAGGACGATCTAAATAATCTTTTCTATTATTATAACAAAAATAATATAAAAATAAGTATTAGTAAATGTCAATGCATAAGTTTTACCCGTAAACCTAATCCTATAGTGTTTCCTTACAATTTCAATAATGTAACGATTGTGAGATCTGATGTGGTCCGTGATCTAGGAGTGTACTTTGACAGTAAAATGGTAATGTCTACACATATAGACACTATAGTGGGGAGGGCCTATCGCAACCTTGGTTTTGTTATGCGTACATGTCGTCCTTTTAATAGTCCCTTAAGTCTAAAAATAGTCTATTATGCATACGTGCGTAGTCTCTTAGAATATGCGGCCCCAATATGGGGCCCGTGTTACAATATTTACATTAATCGTATCGAAGGCATACAGAAGAAATTTGCACGCCACTTGAATTTTAGATTTCGGAAAATTCGTGTTAAATCGACGTACGAGGAAATTTGCCGAGCGCACGACTTGCTTACCCTGGAGGAGCGTCGGGAGGTCCTTGATATGGGTCTGCTGCATGATATCGTTGGTGGTGGCTTTGATTGTCCAGAACTGCTTAAACTAATATTTTATAATACACTTCCTCGTCGTACCAGGTCTTCCAATTTGTTATATGTCCCACATCATTATACTAAATATGGTCAAAATGCTGTGCTTTCTCGTCTACCAAAAATCTATAACGTGAAATTTGGTGAAGCCGATCCTTTTGTTGGTTCAAAAAAACAATTTCTGAATAAAGTGAAACAATTACTATTTAAGAACTTCCAAACAGCAACATCCTCATAATCGTGGGTTTATGATCGTGAATTATAGAACCCTCATATTGTAAACATTAAAAATATGTATATTTCACATATTGTATTATGGTTATTCAGTCCCCACTTAAAATATATAAATATGTATTGTATGTGTATATACCTGAATGTATATATATGTATGTATGTATATATGGGTAAAGAAAAAAAAATATATATATATTAGGTTCTTAATGTACACCTATATTTTCCCCTGAGAACAAAACAGATAGGGTCTGTATTATTATAATTTTGGAGTTTTCTTTTCTTTTTTTTTTTTTTCACTAAGTTAGCAACTGTCAGCATCTCATATTTTCTTTGGTAACCACGTCTGTTCGTTTTAAAACCTTATTGTAATCTGTGGATAGTCGTAATTGGCTTTCAAATTATATATCATTGATTGTAATTCCAATATACATATAAGCTGTGTACTATCCCTTAAATAAATAAATAAATAAATAAATAAAAAACGCCCACTTCTCTCATTAGATGATAAGCGAAATGATTTTTATTATGAGCGTTGATATCAAATTAAAAATATAAATGGGATATTGGTGTCGATTCTGGCATGATTCACTAAACTTAAAACGACTTGATTTAACAACAGTCTCTCCTTTTCATTCTGTATAGAGAGTGATAAGGATACACTTTCGTCACTTTTAAGGTTAGATTTAGAGAATCATGCCAGAATCGACACCATTGTATTGAAAATGTATACAAGTACAGTGTTTGTTGTAAAAGAGTAAAAGAATATTTAAAAAAAAAATGGGTGCGTGTACTTATGTAGGCGCGTGAGAAGTTATCCTTCTTTGGCATCGTTTAAAATTAGTTTTTAATTGCATGCAAATAATTAATTACAATAAATTAATAAAAAGTCTGGAAAAGGACACAGTCAATAAAGTTCAATTTTAATTTGAAAAAATAAATAAATAATCAAAATATTCAATTAAAATCGCTACTGAATATAATTTATTAGAACATATGTGATTTGCACTTGTATGAAACTCAAACACGTATTCCGAATATACAAACTAGAAACATGTGGATAAATATTATAAATATGAATACCTATAACTGTTACTTTATTACAAAAAATAAAGATGTGGTTTTTGGTTCTACTACACCAATGGTCAAGAGATGGCGCTGTAGTCTCCTGAATCGCGCTTTGGTTCCGTTGTTCCAGATTAATAAATACTTTTGATAGGCCTTCACAATGCAGTCGTTAGCACCCACTAAATAGAGATTCTATTTTGTTGGTAGATTTGCTTAATGTGCGGTAAACACAAAAGTAACGCATGAAGTTGGTCGCTAAAGCGACTAACTTCATGCTGTTAATAATTTGTGTTACAGTGATGCGCGCGCATCTAAAAATTTCACTCTCATCATTTTTTCATAACGCGCCTAAAGAAGTATAACTTCAAAAAAAACATACAAATTACAGTCAGCCGTACTAAGTAGGAACCACGTTTTATTTCCAAATGACGCTGTATCCAGTTATAAAAATGTGCGTTTGAAAAAAGTTTTTATCAACGCATTTGCTCGAAAAACGCATTTACCGGGGTCGTATAATTAGTTCGAAATTTTAAAATTACGGGTCATAGGTACAACGGAGCGTGCGGTAAAGTATTTTACCGCACGCTCCCATGCACGGCCCCGTGCGTATCCTTTACATTTTTTTTTACTTCTTTTAAACTTTCTTTGAAGCGCTTTTAATCCATAACCTAGTCTCAATTCAATACTAAAAAGAAATAGAGACGAAATTAGTAGGTCTAATTTTCACCACCCGCAGGTGGCGCCATTTGACAATACGAAGCATTTTGTTATTTGAAATAGTTTGCTTCATTAGGTACTCAAATAATTATTAATTATTTATTTGTTTCAACATACAATTGGTACAATACACAAATGCAATGACAGTAAATTTTAATTGAAACAAAAAGGTATGTGGCTCAGCATGTGACAGTCAAGTTTTGACTTGTCTCTGGTATTCTGCCAATACCTCACAATTGTGATATTCTTAAAAACATTAATTAGGACAACATCAGCAAGTCGAGACAACGATTTAGTTTAAAATACTACAGCAAATAAATAGCATCATATATTGTACTTGCCGCCTCGTGTTGTTGTTCAAGGAACCACCGTTTATACCTTTGCTTAAAACTGCTTTCGGATATTAAAAGACTTTGCCACAAAGGAGGAGGCAAGTCATTCCATATTTTCGAAGCGGCAAATGCAAAACGTTCCCTAGCAACAGCATTTCTAAATAAAGGCAGAGACAGGCGCAGGCCAGTGTCCCTCAAATTAGTACCACGAATCCTCCATTTTAACTTTCTATGCAAATATTCCGGTGCATATATTTTAAGCAAGGAATACAAAAAAAACAAACATATTTCAAATCCCTTACTCCGCCCATGTTCAGAACCCTGCTACGCACCAAGTGGGGAGTAATATGATCCCTCTTTTTTATTGGGAAGCAAAAAAATTAGCTAACTCCACTGTTTTCTCGCAAATGTGTTGAAAAACGTTGTATGATAACCAACTTACCGCAATATTATAAATATGTAAATATTCTTCAAAAAATATATAAATAATTTGAATGGAGAATTTCAGAAAAATAAGTATTAAGAAAAACGAATGTATTTTCGCAGATCACCATTAAATTCGGCACTGGCACGGTATCTTTCGGTTCGCGCGCCCTGGCTGACCTTCCGTCCCTGAAGAAATTAACCATAGACCGCTGCAGAATCAAACCTGTACCATCAGATCTCTTACAAGGAGACACCAAACTCCAAGAATTAGTCATAACCGGTGCTGGCTTAGAAGAACTGCCCAAACAATTTTTCAATGGACTGGTGAATTTAGAAAGATTAAATTTGAAGGAGAATATCATAAAAGCGCTGGACAGCGATATCTTCAGTCCTTTGAAAGCGCTGCAGTGGCTCAACTTGAACGGAAACCGGATAGAAATGCTGCCATCGTAAGTTTCTTTTCTGTTTTATAAATCTTGTTATTAATTTTACCCGAAAATCATATAATGTCCTTCGTGTCCACTACAACAATGTCTTCAGGACAAATGCGATGCCGGCCTTTAAGGAAGGAGTACGCTCTTTTTTTGAAGGTTTTTGGGTCGTATCGGTCCGGAAACACTGCTGGCCACAATATATTCCACAGTTTTGTCGTACGTGGTAAAAAATTTCGACAAAAACGCACGGTTGTCGATAGCCACGCATCAAGATGATGGGGATGAAATTTATGTCGCGATGTACGATGACGAAATGCAGCAGCTGGGATTAATCCGAACAATTCCTCAGAACACTCCCCGTGATAAATGCGATAGAAGATGCAGAGCGAAGCTACATCCCTACGCAAAGCCAAAGGATCAAGCTGATCGGAAAGGTCCTGGTCGTCGACGATTCGAGCCGCTCGGCGCTGGATGCGATCCGAAGGGAGAAGCTGGTACTGGGGTGCCCCCGTCCGAAGATGAGAGCAGTACTCCATATGAGGCCGAACCTGTGCCTTATAAAGTTGCAGTACTGTGATATTGTAGTGCTTCGGGAATGTTCGCAGGTCGACAATTTCCCGGCTCTTTTGCGCAAAAAAGCAGGTTCATTGCTCCGGCGGGTTCGCGGTAGCCGCAGCAGAGTCGTGAGGGATTAAGATGATTGTGGGGACTTCCCACTGATTAGAATTTTTGTAGATAGGGTTATATCTGTTTTTAATATAATTTACTCTTATATTTTTTCTGTTAATATCCCCTAGTACCATAAGAATGAAATAAGAAACAATAAATAATTAGATGTTTCACTAGTTATTGTCACAATCACCCCACAGGCGACTGTTCTCCGGTCTCACTCGCCTGTCGACGTTATCCGCGGATCGGAACCACATGAAGGTGATCGCTCCGGACTCGTTCCAGGGCGCCGTCAACCTGCAGGAACTATCCCTCATGGACAACGAGCTCACGCTGACCACGGACGAGGATGAGGATTTGTGAGTATTGTATTCATCTCATCATCATCATTAAAACCATACGTTACCCACTGCTGAGCATAGGTCTTCGCCAAGCATCACCTAGGCTGCACTTAATCCTGTACCTCGAACATTTGGGATGTCATGAAGTAGCCAAACCTTCGCGAACACGGGCCAATCTTACTTTGCTTTAATGAAAATGAACTCACGTTGGACGGACGATGACGAAGATCTGTAAGTTATTGCATTCACAAACATAGATAATGCAAGTGTGTGTACTTCATGTGCAAAAAGCATGCTTAATCTCTCGCCTGGTGTATATTTTCGCGGATCACATCAACATGAAGGTGGTCGCCCCGTCTCGTGCTTCTGCAGGAACTATCCTTGGTGGATAACGAGCTCATGCTGACTACGGAAGAGAATGATCCTCATTCTCTTGACAGTAACTTATTGTATTTACCTAAGCCACACTTTGGATCTCATCAATGGTCATACAGTGAGCAATGAGGAGAGCGATGTTCGGTCTTTCCTTACGCGATAGAATCAGAAATGAAGAAGTCCTTAGGATAAGTAAAGTAACAGATATAGCTCCAAGGATTGCTCGATGATTCATCATCATCATGCTGGGACACAGGCCTTCCCTATGGATGGAATAGCTAAATTGGGCCGTATCCTACCCCGCGGGCCCAGTGCGGATTGGTGAGTGCTAACGACTGCAGATGCAGCGGGGACCAACGCCTTAACGTGCCTTCCGAAGCACGGAGGAGCTGGAGATAGTAAATTTTTGGTCACCCATCCAATGCCGAACTTGCGCCGTCCAGCTCTTCACTCATTTCGCCCTCCATGATATTGTTACGTGTCGGGATGGGGTTCGAAATTATATGCCAGTTCACGCTTGACAGTTCTTTATTCACACCACTCAGTCCACACAATTAACACACAATGTTAATTACAAAACACTCACTAAACACTGTATTCCACTATACAAGTCTCTAAACAATCTCACTTGAACACTTTTGTTGCACTTTGATCGCCTTTGGATTCGCTCCGAAATCGCTGTTGAAACTCCACTGTCTCTGCGCGGCGCCAATCGCGCTTATATACGCCGATCGACGCATTCTGGAAAGTACCAGTTAAATTGAGAATTACCTAGCACCCGCGAGTACGTAGTACCTACTTATACCTACGCAGGTAACGCGCATAACTTGTAAACGAGTGCAGATGTCGTTGCGCTTTCTCCCTTACGTCGCACTGCATAAGGCTCATTTCAGAATGAGCCGCATTACTCGGCCTCTATCGCGACCCGCGTTGATCTGGCAAATTCGATCTCTAGCACTTTCGCGGTTACGTTTCGAGAGCGTTTGTGACAATATAATTATATTTATTTATTGTTAGAAAGATCAACAGTTAATTTTAAAACAGAAAATATAACTACAGTAGAGACAAATAGCCAATTACAGGTCCTCGTAGATAACAACAGATTAGATTATTAAAGACGCACTATTTAAACACATGCACGCAGACAATTTTGGCTGCAAAACAGAGAACAATAATTAAATATTTTTCAAAGTTTAACATTTGACAAACAACATATTTATTGGAAATAATAGGCCTCATATTTTGTTGAGCTACGTAATTCTATACCCTACATCATGCCATACTACACCAAATTGTATTGTATATGTATATGTATATCTTTATATATATAATTCTTCTGTGAGTGTGTATGTCACTGAACTTCTCTTAAACGACTGGACCGATTTTGATGAAATATTTTGTGTGTGTTCAAGGGGATCTGAGAATGGTTTAGATTCACAATTTTGTCCGCTGGATAACCCCTATTTTTTAGGGCGGTACGAAGTTCGCTGGGTCAGCTAGTGTATATATATATCTTTCAAAGCAGGAATGTAAGATCAAATTGAGCGGGTGGTTACTTGACTTGGAATATGACACTGTGGAGTTATTGATCAAGTAAAACATGCACATGCACACACATCTCTCTATCACACACACACTACATGTACACATTCAACGCGCGCGCACGCACGCACATACACACACACACACACACGCAGTGTAATGTATTATAAATACTTTGTATTTGTTTCTTAGGTTTTCACGCACATCACTCATTAAATAAAACTAGTTTTAACGGGTTAATGCACGAAACTTTATTTTATTTATTGACGTTTCGCAGCCTTTTCAGGTCTGCATCGTCAGAATAATGATTTTTTATTGATGATGCAGACCTGAAAAGGCTGCGAAACGTCAATAAATAAATAAAGTTTCGTGCATTAACCCGTAAAAACTAATAAATACTTTGTTTCAAATCATGTCTGTAATGTGCCTGTCTTTTGAGGTGGGCGCTAATAACTAACACAGTCTTAGACTACTACGGTTGTTAATGCTAAATATTGTTATATTGTATACGTCATGGTTCAAAAATAATAATTATTATTTATTATTATGCGTGTGTCGGCAGCTACGCCTGCCACATTTGTATATTTTTACCTTAGTCGTAATAGAGCTCTTGAAACTTAAACGTGTTTTCTTATTTTCCGAATTCTTCTGAATACGGACATTATACAATAAATATAAACCGTACACTCGCCAAAGCCTCGATATGTGACGTGAATGCATATGAATGTTATACATATAAATAGATTATGAACACCTTCTTTAAATGACATCGCTATAATTGTGTCTGATTTGCAATTGATGAAAACTTGTCTATAATAGTAGCAATTGGAATAAGAATAAAACCCTTCTTGTTCGGTGTAATAAACTTGTTTATTAACGTCAAATAAAAAGGTATGCATGTATGTATGTCACCATGAAACGGACTAAGCGCATTATCACTTCGAGATTACTGTCCATTACTTACATGCAAGCCGAAAACCCGGTAAAACGATTGGAATACATTATCCGAAGTCCTTGTCTTTCACCGTCCTATATACATACAGTTACAGACAAGGACACAACACACACACACACACACACACATACACACACACACACACACACACAATCCCACACTTTATTACTTTATAACGTAGTTACAAAGAGAATTTTCTGTATTTTGTAATTTTACTATTTCATCTGTTGCAATCTTATTTACATTCATCAGGTGTCCACGATATAGAACTTCCTAGTGCGGGGCCCATGGTTATAAGCTATAAGAGTAAATTAGAAAAAATAATATAGCTGTGCTCCATGGTGCTACCCGCTGTTTATTTTTAGGATTAAAACGTAGCCTATGTGATATAATTCATGGTGTTAGCTAACTCCATAAAAAAAAAATTGTGTGTGTCAGCTCCGACGCACGACTGGAGTTTACTCCTTAAGTTCGATAGTCTAACCAGACGCAAAAAGAGTTTATTTAACTTAAAAAAGATTGATACTGTATGAAAGAGTAAATTAACAAATTAATGAAAATAATATAAATATATATTTATTCATTTCATATACATTTGTTATAACTAATCGGCGAAATATTTTACATTAAACTTTTTACAATAGTCAATTTCAGATGTGCATAAATATATTATTTTAAGTTATTGTATATCTTAGTGTTTAACATCTTAAGTAATGGTGGGCGATAACAGAGTCATGTTGTTTAGTTAAATATTTGTAAGGACAAATCTCAGTTTGTCCTTGGTGGGCGATTATGTATACGCCATTTGTGCATTTAAAATTTTAGTTCATATGTATCAAAATAGATGGCGCTGTAGTTAGTTGCATTACGCTTGTAAATATGTTTGGAGCTACATATAGGCACAACGTCACCTAAGTAATAAAGAAATCTATGGTCTAACAAAATACTCTGTAGTTTCAATTTAATTCTTTTGCACCTAAGCTCTCGGATTTAAGAGTCATTTTGGCTCGAACAGGATGCGCACCAAAAACGTAACGAGGTCATTCATCGATAGATTTTACTCCTCAAAATTTTCTCATACCGGGCCCCTTATATATGCAAATCGATTCTTAAGGAGTAAACTCCAAAAATATTAAAATCGCTCTAGTTGGTTAGACGTGAAGAAGTAACAAACATCACACAAGTTTGTGACTGTCTTCACAAACTTTCACCTTTATAATATCAGTGTGATTTGTGTGTCGGGTTGAGGAGCTCGATGGTGCAAGTGGTTAGCGCGTCCGGCTGCGATCTTTGAAGTTAAGCAACTTTCGCAGTGGTCGGTCATCGGATGGGTGACCAAAAATTTACTCACTCCTCCGCGCTTCGGAAGGCACGTTAAGCCGTTGGTCCCGGCTGCATCTGCAGTCGTCACCAATCCGCACTGGGTCCGCGTGGTGGGTCACGGTCCGCACTCCGTATTCCATCCATAGGTTCAGGCCTGTGTCCCAGCAGTGGGGACATCAATAGGCTGATGTTGATGATGATCGTGTGTCAGGTATTCGGAGCCGCCGTACTCCCCGTTCGCGTCGCTGCTGCAGCTGCGAGTGGTCCGGCTGCGCGACAACCGCGTGCGGCGCGTGCATGACGACTGGCGCCTGCTGCTCGCAGCGCGTCTGCGGCTGCTCGACCTCTCCAGGAACGCATACACGGAACTCACGGTCAGTTACGCAATAGTGGTGATGACGGGGTACAGTAAACGAAATTCTATTTAGTCCGTCAATTAGATGATCAAAAAATAATGGACACGTATTTTTTCTTTGGGCAATCGACCAAAAAATGACAAAGTTATAGCGCATCAAAATTTGGGAGTAGGGAGCTCGTGACGTCACTTTTGAGTGAATTTTCACTTATAAGTGTACTCAAACGTGACGTCATGCGACTTTTCAAATCGATATATCTCTGCAATGTTTATATTATGTGAAAAAAGAAAAAATACGTGTCCAATACTTTTTGATAATCTACCTGATAAACGAAGAAAAAAAAATAGTCATCATCCCTATTAATTGTTGTGTGTTTTTAGTGGGTAATCAGAGATTAACATAATTACGATAGTGCGGGCTGCGCCCCGCGCGTATTCCTGTGATTAAACAGTGCGCAACAGACTAGCGAGTCTGATTGACGCACTTCTCCTATCTCCATATATCACATTAATAAACAGCCGTGATTCGAGTACAAATGTTCGTATTCATCATACAAACATTTGTTTCGTCAGAATTCGAACCCAGAATACCTTGAAAATCAATCATAAATATATCACTCTACCACAAACAATATATAACTAAATCAGCTGTAGGAAGGCCAAAGGAGAAGATCTTCCACCGAGCTGGGTGATGTTAGCTCGCGACCCGACTGATGTTGGTCGGGCATTGTATATATGAAGTATTTGACTCCAATTTCCCTTGCACGATGTAGGCTTCCATACGTTGTGAACGCAGCGCCGGTAGCGCCATCTCTTAAGGAGGCGAGTGACTATTTCCTCTATGTTCATTATATGTGGGGCATGTAGATGTCGCCGCCACATAGCCACCCCGTATAACTAGTGACCTAGGAATTTGACACTATGGACCACTACGACGATAGTCCTATTTAATATACTTGACTTTATTCACTTTAAAACACTCTTACTTTCAAGACAAAAGACGAAAGACTACATCAAAGGCTAATCATTGGTTCCACAGGTCCACCAAACGATTGAGTCCATAAAAATTAGATTCTAGGCATAAAAATTCTAATATAACTTTATTAATATATGTACATTAATATATACAGAAACCTTAAAAAAAATGGGTGCGTGTACTTATGTAGGCGCGTGAGAAGTTATCCTTCTTTGGCATCGTTTAAAATTAGTTTTTAATTGCATGCAAATAATTAATTACAATAAATTAATAAAAAGTCTGGAAAAGGACACAGTCAATAAATTTCAGTTTTAATTTGAAAAAATAAATAAATAATCAAAATATTCAATTAAAATCGCTACTGAATATAATTTATTAGAACATATGTGATTTGCACTTGTATGAAACTCAAACACGTATTCCGAATATACAAACTAGAAACATGTGGATAAATATTATAAATATGAATACCTATAACTGTTACTTTATTACAAAAAATAAAGATGTGGTTTTTGGTTCTACTACACCAATGGTCAAGATATGGCGCTGTAGTCTCTTTCCTGATTAATAAATACTTTTGATAGGCCTTCACAATGCAGTCGTTAGCACCCACTTAATAGAGATTCTATTTCTATTTTGTTGGTATATTCCAGGCATTATATATAGTTTAGACGTGTTTCACTAAAGTAATACTATTGATGTTATTGAAAATTGTATTTCAATAAACCGATATCATTTCAGAGAGCAGACGTGCAGTTCCTCAATGCCAATATCACTGTTGACCTCCGCGAGAACAACATCACCACTGTCGACGTGCTGGAAGCGCCCACCTGGTGGCCCCAAGAAGAATTGCCAAAGAAAACTTTATCAGTCATTCTGCTAGATGAAAACCCGTTCCGATGCGACTGCGAGCTGTTCACCTTCATCCGAAGACTTAGAGGCAGCAAACCTCTAGCTGCAGAACCTAAACTCAACCCTGGCAACGCGAAATGTACCTCCCCGCCATCTTTGGAAGGGTACTCCGTCAAAGATTTAACTCCTGAGCAATTAGTTTGCCCGTTGAAAGACGCAGATTGTCCTTCCGACTGTGTTTGCTACTTGCGACCGGCGACCAAGTCTTTAGAATTAGACTGCAGTGCTGAACCGACGAAATATCCGGTGCCGAGTGAATTTGGACTTGAAGAGATGCGTCTAACTCTCCACAGTCCTCCAGCCACGATTGAAACGTTGCCAGATTACGTGGTGTTCTTAAACTTGAGTGGCGTAGGTTTGACTGAGATTCCAGAAGTGCCGGAAACGGTTAAAGAATTAGATCTATCTAACAATTCGCTTAGTCGACCTCCCATGGAATTATTGAAGAATATTCGACTACGTTTGAGCAGTAACCCATTCCTGTGCGATTGTAGTCACGTAGAAGACGTCAATTTACTGCAAAGCAATATATACAGGATATTAGACTCTGATAAAGTTACTTGCATGGATGGTGGATTTCCCTGGAGATTAGATGCAAATAGATTGTGCGATGTGAGACGAGCGGCGTTATTAGGAGGGGCTTTAGCAGCCTTAGGCATTGTAGTAGCCGTAGCTGCCGCTTTAGCCTACAGATACTCTTTGGAAATCCGCATATTCCTATTCTCTAGGGGATGGTGCTTAAAACTTGTTCACGAAGAAGATTTAGATCAGAACATGCAGTACGACGCCTTCGTATCTTTTTCGCAAAAAGACGCACGCTTCGTCGCCGAAGAACTGGTACCGAAACTGGAAGGGGAGAACAACCTTAAGCTTTGCGTGCATTATCGCGATTGGCTGATCGGCGATATGATCCCGGCGCAAATAGCAAGATCGGTGGAACAGTCTAGGAGGACAATAATTATTCTATCGAAGAGCTTTCTGGAATCCTCTTGGGCTCTGTTGGAGTTCCGTGCGGCACATCTAAGGTCTCAGCAGGAGAGAAGAGCGAGAGTTCTAGTCGTAGTCCTCGAAGATTTGAGCGAAGCTGATATGGATGCTGAGTTGCGTGCGTATCTCACTACAAATACGTACTTGCGTTGGGGTGATCCGTGGTTTTGGAAGAAGCTGCTGTACGCACTGCCTCATCGAAGGTCGGAGGTTATGGTGGATAAGCTGAAGGTGGGAGGGCTGCAGACGAGACTTACCGCCGATGGAATGATTGTGAATGAATCGATGCAGAAACTAGAAAAGTATTGAATACGCTGAATTGACACATATAACTCTCAATACTTAAAGTATTCTTAGCGCAATGATATTCCGAGATTATTGGTTCTACGGGAAAACATGTATACTCCAATACGCATCAAGGGCAGCTTTGGTATCGTTACCGCCATTTGAATACATATTATAATTTGTAAAACAAGCAATAACTAAACTTTAGTGTTGAGTTATAATTTATATTTTTAAGCATGTAACTGCTCGATGTTAAAATCTAAAGAAAATATTACTAGTAAAAAATTCCACGCTGACCAGGCAGCAGACGGGATTAGACTCGATTGTAGGTTATCCACAATGCGAAGAGATGGCGCTGCCTTGCAGCTTAAGAAAGACTAGGAAGAATTCGACGCTGATGGCCGCGGTAGCATAATGGTCAGTGCATTCGTCCGGATAGCGAAGGGTGCGGGTTCGAGTCCCGTCTGCTGCCTGGTCCGCGTGGAATTTTTTCTAGTAATATTTTCTTCAAATTTAGCGTTGAGTTTCAAATCAGAGAATTATTTTGTACTGTACGTGGTTCTATTTAGTGTTAATACCTGGTCTAGTCCTCAGCACTATATTATTACATAGGAATAACTTTTTAAATATCAATTTTGCATTTGAAAAATATTTAATAACTTCAAGTGCGTATATTGAAGAAAAAAAATCAAATTTTAGTTTGATATTTAGAAATATTTTTCGAATGTAAAATTGAAGTATACCTTTATAGAAGAAAACGTTAGGACCGATTCCTCGGGTAACTACCTCACAACCAAGAGTAAGTGAGAGACAATTAGATCTAAAAAACTAGTTGAGAAGCATCGAGAAAGTTCTTGCCGCTGCGACAAATTTGCAAAGAGAATTCTCGCTGTCGTGAGAACATTCAACGATCGGCTATTAGCTTTTAATAAGTGTTCATTTATTTGATAGAGGAACCACTTTAGCAAAACTGTTCTTTCTGAGCCCGGGCGGCGACACTACTTTTTTTTGTTGAAAAGTTTCCATTTAGCGAAGTGGTTTTCTGGCGCTTCGCCGGCCGCTGCCGTGGCACGATCATTTCGCTCGCTTGGGTAACGCGTTATGACCACAACACTACACAAACCTTTATTTTTCTTTTTTTATTTGTGTTGTCGTAGGCTAAGAAACGTGAGGTAACTAAGGTTGAGTCACCATTTTTTGTAAGTTTCTTGAGCGAGTAAATTTTAAGGGGTAATAGCTTGTAGGAAGGCCCAAGGGGAAGATCTTCCTCCGAGCTGGGTGATGGTAGCTCGGGGGCCGCGGCCCGACTGATGTTGGTCGGGCATCGTATTTATTTATTTATTTATTCATTTATTGCATTCTTGCTGTTTACATGCTGTTACAAAAATATATATTATCATTCCAAACAAGAACCCAGTTAGGGTATTACAATAATCCTAAACTAAATAGATCTCAAATTAATCTCAAATTATGCATAAATGTCATCTGATTCCATTTGTTTATTAACAATATAACTTACTCAATTGATCTTATTAACAGTAGAAATATAATAGAAATGGAAATTCATTTATAAAATTAAATTAAATTTGTCAGTAATTAAAATTAATAAATATGTCAATAAAATAAAATTAAAATAAAATAATATGTCAATTAACATGATTATTACATACTAGGTTTGTATTTCAAAAAAAAAAAAAAAATCGCCTCATTAGTATTATTTTGTTGTAAAGTGTTCATTATATATATTAAAAAGTATATTTAAAAGCATTTATCTAATAAATATATTTTCTTTTTAACTTTGTGCATTCATATATTAAATTATTATCTATTTGTAATTTAAATATTCATCCACAGAATAGAAGCATTTATCAATTAGAAAATTTTTAAGTTTTGTATTAAATGTGGTAATAGATTTTTGGTTTTTTATAGAATGTGGTAATTTATTAAATATCTTAACTGCCATGTAGTAGGGGCTATTGCTAAGCATGGTTAGTCTTGATGGGGGATGATTTAATCTATTTTTATGGCGGGTATTAATATTATGGGTTTGGCTAACTTTATTAAACGCGTTAGAATTTTTAAATACAAAACCACATATGTCGTGTATGTATATGCTTGGAAGAGTAAGTATTTTATATTTTTTAAAGAAAGGTTTGCAGCTCACTGTATTGTCTATTTGTGCAAGGATACGAATACACTTCTTCTGCACAACAAAAAGATCATGTGAATTCACACTATTACCCCACAGCATAGAGCCGTACCGCAACCAGGAATAGGCATATGCATAATATGTAGATAGAGCTGTTTGTAAGTTAGTACTCTGTTTAATTTCAAAGAGTGCGTATATAAATTTGGATAATTTAGTTTTAACATAATCAATATGACTTTTCCAGTTTAAATTACTATCTATAGTTATACCGAGTAATTTAAATGTATCTACTAATTCGATATTTATATTTTTGTAAGCAACTGTAACATTTAATGGCGTATATATTGAGTGTTTGGCTCCGAATTTCTCTTGCGCGATGTAGGCTTCCATACGTTGTGAACGCAACGCCGGTAGCGCCATCTCTGAAGAAGGCGAGTGACTATTTCCTCTATGTTCACTTTATGTGGGGCATGTAGATGTCGCCGCCACAAGCTAAAGTGGTGTATTATACTATAGCATTAGATTTCTTCGAAACTGGACCTCACTTGTACGCAATATCAGGTAGGGAGACTTAATTTACCGCGTCTTGTAAATAATAAAACTAGTTAAATAGTTGAACGTTTTCTCATAAATTTTGGGAGTGGTTACTTTTAATGTAAGATAATTTTGATATTGGAGTGGTTTCATTATTTCACTGGAATAACAGAAGTTCTTTTTTACTAGAATTACATAAAAAATATTATAAATAGCAAAGCGATTAGAGTCTGTGCGGAAAGAGAATGAGATTTAGAATGGAGGGCGCTGTAGTGGTTTTCTACCGTATTTGTAAGGTTTTACCCCTTTTAGACATGATTAAATACAAAAAACCGCAAGAAATCACAACAACAAACAAATCCGTATCAATACAAAACTTTGACGTTTTACAGATTGCTGGGTTTTATTGCCATATTTTTTTTTTAATGTTAGTTCCGTTTTTCGCCACGCCCATTCTCTTTCCGCTCAGACTCTACTTGTGTTGTTATTTTTTAAGTATTAAACTGTTAGATTTAGAAATCTGTCTGTAATCTTGACTGAGTGGATTTTTCATCAATTTACTATTATTTCTCTCAGAAATGATTGTTTTATATACTAGTTTAAATATCATGACGAGATTTATAAATATAGCGGAGTTTTTTTTGTATCGTTTATCAAATCCCGTCCCATCTTATTTAGAATACTTGTAACTTACGTAGCTATAGAATATTCGTTCTCTTTTTTTTAATCTCAACTATATAATCATAAGATCTGATTGAATAGTCTGACCTATAATTTTCAAATATAAGTAGTTCTAATAGAATCCACTGTTTGTTATAATATAAGACGCCTGTACCTTTATAAAGTAAAATAAGAATAGTCAAGCTATATATATTAATTTTATGTAAATGAAGCAATATTGAGTGTCCATAAAAAATTAGCTTAGGTTTTAAACTTAATAAAAAAATTGATATTATTTGTTACCATTATAATAGTATTATAATAAAATTATGGTGAACGACTCTTTACGTTTTCCATTTAATATATTCCTATGTTCTCACGAAAATATCGCATCTATTTTTACTAAATGCACAATGTGTTGTGTTGTTGCACTAGTAGCAACTCCGAAATCCCAACAAACGTATGATTTTTTTTAAAGAAGCAAGCTAACATGTTCTCAATCTAACTTGTTAACAAGTAGTGAGTGGCGCCATCTATTTATCTGTTCTTGCAACTTTTCATAGCTGGTACAATTGACGACTGAACTGTAATACGGTATTTGACAAGTTTTAGAAAACGATCTCACTTTATGTGCTAATGTTGATGGAGCCAATAAAAAGTGAATATTTTTAATTCTGCTGTGTAAATCAGTAAAGAAACTAAATTAAAAATTAAATTTTCCTGTTGACGAGGAAACGTTTCTCTGGATATTATGGCGTCTCACTAGTGTGTGACGTCACACGACTGTGATTTAAACGTCAAACGATACAATGTAATATCACCTTAGCTGCAAGTTTGCTAGCGTGTGACGCTTGGCCAAGGCGTTTTCGGTCACGTGACCATGAAGCAAAAAGAAACATTTCTAATCAATAATTTCATAGTAAAGTTATTAATTATTTGTTCTCTAAAAATATTAAAATCGCTTTTAATATCCATTTTAAACACAAATAGCCTACAATGGGTTCATGTTGGTGCTGAAATAATAATAAAATACTGTTTGTATACCTTTGTTAATTTTGTACTAAAACAAAGTGTTATCAATTGTTAAATGAATGATAAAACGGATACATTATTTCATACACTGTTAAAATGCTGAATAAATTTGTGAAAAAAAAATCTTTTGTATTTTTTTATTTTATAACTTTGCCGCTACCTCTCCTACTAACAATATAGGACATTTCAATCATGAAATATTTATCAAAACTTAAGGCGCTTTGCAGACGACGGGGCGGGGCGGGCCGGTCAATTTCGCAGCGAATAATAGCACAAAGTGAATCCTATACTTCAAACGCACACGGAGGGCAAAAAGACCGCGCCTTGGGTGCCCGGCGGGCAGTGGCGGCGCGGCATGTCCGCGGCTGCCCGCCGTGGATCATACAAACCAGTTTATATGCAGTAACGCAGACGGCGGCGCGGGGCGGTCATGGACTATTCACTAGAACGAACGTCGTAAACTGACCGGCTCTGCCCGTCGTGTGCTTTGTGTACGCGGCGCGGGCAGCCGCAGACATCGACGGGCAGACGCGGTCTTTATTGCTTCGCGGACAAAATGCCCGCCCCGCCCCGTCGTCTGCTCAACGCCTAAACAGCTTACACTTTATAATACACTTCCGAACACATCTATCTGCCCATTTAGGCCCGTATTATAGAAAGATTCTCAGTGATTGATCTAGTCTTGAGCATAGTTAGAAAGGGATGTCGCTATATATAGCACATGGCGACATCCCTTTCTAACTGTACTCAAGTAAAGATCAACATTTAGTTGTCATTCTGTAACATGGACCTCAGTGTTATAACTTTCAACGGTCTCTATCAAAAATATAGTTAAGTTAGTATGAGTAATAATATTTCTTTTTTTTTAAAACACGTAAAGTTTTTGCTCAATGTAAGATTTATTTTTAGCTAGGGACGGTCAAAACCATATAGGCCAAAACTTAAAATGCTAAGTTTGCCGATAGAAGTGTCCGGGAGTATAATTTCTCTGGTCAAAAGTCAATGATCAAGGATAACAATCCTGTTCGTAGCTCTATAATGTGACGTTGTACGTTACAATAGGCCTTAATAACAATAATTAAAAAAAACATATATTCTTCAATTTTAACTGAATGAATTAATTTAAAAG